GAAGAGTCCAACCTAGGAAGTCTATGGGACAGTTCTGTTCTCTCATATCAGGTCCCCATGAGTGAAAAAGAGTTGTGTCCTCTTCTTCATACCTGTTCAGTCCGCATGCAGAGCAGATCATTTGGGAAGCTGGACTTTATGAAGAAGAGTGTGGCATCAGGGTTGGAGGAAGACTCACCAACAACCTGAATCATGCAGATGGCACAACATTGCTTGGTGAAAACAAAGAGGGCTTAAAATGCTTGCTGTGAAAGATTAACATTATAAGACCCTTATTGTAGAAGTATGAGGATCCAAGGGGCGGGGAGAGGGGGAGGCCTTAATAATAGGGTCGCATAATTTGATGGGTGGAGGGAGGGTTGGGTAAAGGAAAGGGGAAAGATCCGGTGTGAAAAAAACAATATATACAAACTTTGTAAGTAAACCAGTATAAAATAAAAATATTTTTTAAATGGTAAAAAAAAGGACTACAGCCTTCAATATGAATTACATCTCAGCATCAAGGAAACAGAAATCCTCACCATTGGACTGATAATGTTATATCATGATAGATAGAAGACTGGAAAACTCAATGATTTCATCTTACTTGAATCTGCCATCAGCATTCTCACTACCACCAGTTGAGAAATCAAAGGCGTGTTGCATTGGGGAGATCTGCCATCAGGGACCTCTCTAAGGTGCTGAGGAGTCGTGATGTCAGGTTGAAGAGGGAGGCATGCCTGATTTGAACTGTGGTCTTCACTATTCCTATGTATCTGAAAATGGGACAGTAAATAAAGATTGCAGAAGAAGTGATGCCTTTGAGTTGTGGTGTTGGAGAATATTACTAAATATTACATGGACTGCCAAAAAAACGAATATGTCTTGGAGAAAGTACTGCCAGGGTGCTCCTTGGAGTCAAAGATGATGAAATTTCATCTCACATACTTTGGGCACATTGCTAGGAGGGGCCAGTCCTTGGAAAAAGACATCTTGCTTTGAAAAAAAGATAAGAGATCAGCGAAAGACAAAGCTTCAAGAAGTTGGATCAACACAATGGCTCTACAATGGACTTGAGTATATCAGGGAAGGTAAAGATAGGACAGTGTTTGGATTCATTGTTTATAGGGTTGCTATGAGTCATGCTCAGTTTGAGAGCATCGAACAACATGAGTGGAAAAGCAATTCAGTGGTTGTTCTTGTTATGTGCCATCGAGTCGTTTGCGACTCATAGCGACCGTACGTACAACAGCCCTAAACCCTGCTCTGTCCTGTGCCAATCGCACTGTCTCTGATACACCCATCCCAATTACCCTAGTCACTGAATCAATCCACCTCATAGAGGGCCTTCCCCTCCTGCACTGTCCCTCCACCCTCCCAAGCATGCTGTCCCTCTCCAAGGACCTGTCCCTCCTTACAACATGTCCAAAGTATGTTAGACGGAGCCTCAGAATCCTTGCCTCCAAGGAGCAGCCCGGTTTAACCCTCTCCGGGATGAACTTGTTTGTTTTCTTAGCAGTCCATGGTACCTAACCTAATTCTAGCTCATTTCTGCAGTAAAATTTCATTAAATTCTCTTTCACTTGTTTAACTAGAATATTTCATCAGTGAGTTACATCATTATTCTCTTCCTTGTAACTTGGTAATTTTTTTATCCCTTGTCTGTCTCTCCCTCTCTCCTGCTCCTCCACTCCTCATTCTCCCTTTCCCTTTCTCTCCCTCTTTCCCTCTCCCTCTCTCCCTGTATCTCCCTCTCCCTCTTCTCTCCCTTTCTCCTCCCTCCTTTTCTCCCTCCTTCCCTGTCTCTCCCTGTCTGTTCCTCTTTCTATTTCTCTCTCCCCCTCTCCCTCTCTCCTTTTTTTCCCTCTCTCCCTCTCCTTCTCCTTCTTCCTCTCCCTCTCCCTCCACTTCAGATATCCAGGTGCTCAGGTACATAGAGTGCCCTGAGGCTTGCATGTTGCTTTGATGCTAAGCAGATTTCAGTGGAGCCTCTGTATTAAGATGAACTGGGAAGAAAGGCATGGTGGTCTACTTCCAAAAATCATCCAGTGAAAATCCAGTGGAGCACACTGATCCAGTTCTATCACACAGACACCCCTGACACAAGTTGGAGGCTTGACTCAGTGGCACCCAGTGGCAACAATAAACATTCTCCCATGCTCAGAGAACAGTTTCAGCAGTTTGCTGGCCCTTGCTCTCACTGGCCAGAAGGACAGCCATGTCAACTTTATCCCAAACCACCGTTTCTTGACATTACATTCGTAGCTGAAATCAGCCACGGTGGGAGTGTTTACATCATGGAAATTGGCAAAGGCTACAAATCCATTTCTTTTTCACCTGCCTCTCCTGTTCACCATTTCTCTGCATGTACTCTGGAGCCTGCCAATTTTTTGAAGTTAGTATATGTAGCAGATTTCCTGATAATCAAAGGCTATGTTTGTCCAGCAGTTCAAGTCCTCCAGTAGTTCTTTGGGAAAAAGAGATGGGCAGTGTCCTCCCATTAAGATTTATAGTCTTGGAAACATGATAGTTTCCTTGTTGGAACCCATTCAGTGGCATTGAGTTTGGTTGGTTGTTTTTTTGTGGTGTGACTGTGGGTGTTGGCACAGCAAGTTTAAAATCTCTTGGTTTTACACGTGTGGAAAATGATTGTAGAAAAGGGAAGATCCTTGGCCTAAACCTCATGTCTCACGCAGCGTCAGCTTTGGGCTCTATCCGGGAGCAGAAGCGTCGCTGGCTTTTGAATCTTGGCACGGTTGCTTTAGAGCTGTGAACTGGCCAAGTATCTGCCACAGCCTTCCTGCACTTCAGGTGCTTTCCACCTATGAAATAAAGATGATACTATTTCCCCTGTAGAGAGCTTGTAAGCATTGAAGGAAACGATGTGTGCAAATGGGGTGGAATCCTAGCTGAGTACAGCAGAGGTGTGTGATAAATGTTAGTACCCCATCCTTCTGACTTAAACGTTCCAGTCGCTCTGCATTACTGCGCCGTTCTTCCCATGACCGTATTTCTCATCTCACCTCTCCCGGCCCCGAACACATTTCATTTAATGGGGAATAGAATTTTCTGCCACATCTTTGCCACCAGAATGAGTATAAAGTCTTGACAGTGAAATTTATCTGTGGTTTGGGGGAATCTATTTCTTCCTTACAATCTGAGAAATGGTTAGATATCCACTGGGCCCATTTCTCAGCTGCCTGCAGTCTCCTCACCACCCATCCTGGCCAGTTGCAGCATCCGAAGCCGGACTGAATTGGGGGCCCCTGGGTGCTAGGACTGCACCCAGCAAGTTGACTGTGGTGCCTTTTCATGTTGTGCTGTGTGCTTCTTCTGTCCACTCTGTCAGACCCAAAGGTAGACAGCGATGTCAACAGAAACCAAAATGTACTTCTCCTTGAAAATGGTTCTCTTTATTCCCAGGAATAAAGTGTTGGCATGCATGATGTATTTTTCCATTCTTTTTTTTTATAAAATTTTTATTTTATACTGATTTACTTACAGAGTTTGTATACATTGAAAAACAATGAGTAAACACGTATAATGGTGTTAAAACTGTCTTTACAAATACAAAGGAGTGTACAATGGACATTGTCTCCCTTTTGCTAGTCTTCACCCACTCCAAATTCTCTCCATGATAATCAGCCCCCCCTAAGACTGGAAGATAGTGAAGAAGAGGAAGTGTCTCCTCTCTTATTATTAGTTTGTTTCGAAGCCATAGGCTTCTGGAGCTCCTCAGGGGCCCAGCATCAGTCCTACCTTCACTGTATGTTACATATGTGTCAGATTGGGCTGGACCAAAGAAGCCTTTAGCAGGAATCAAGAACACTCAACATGAACCATTGTGGCTTGTCAGTAATTGGAAAGCAAATTAACAAAGATACACTTAGAATTGTTGTTATTATTGTTGTTATGTGCCGTTGAGTTGCCTGCGATCCATAGCAACCCTATGTACAGCAGCTCTGAACCCTTTTCTGTCCTGAGCCTGTCTCACTGACCTCAGCACACCAACTCCCATTGTCCCAATTACTGTGTCAGTCCATCTCATTCGAGATCTTGCTCTCCTGCGCTGCTCCTTCACCCTTCCGAGCTCTCCTTTCAGTCCCTTCTGGCCATGTGCCCAAGTATGTAAGATGGAGCTTCACAATCCTAGACTCTAAGGAGAGACTTGGTTTCACCCTCTCCAGGACAGACTGGGTTTTTTTTCCTTAGAAGTCCATGGTATTATGTTCAAGACTCTTTAGAACCACAATTCGATTATTCTTCTTCTATCGTCCTTAGTCACTTAGAATAAAGCCATGAAACCAAAACAACCAAACCAGTTCCCATCAACCCTTAAATCCTCACAATTCTGTGTCTTTCAAAATTACTCCATAGAATTTCCAAAGCCTGATTTAAAAATAAAAATAATAATAATTTGCCAGGCCTTTCTTCCAATGTACCTCTGGGGGGTTCTAACCTCCACTCTTCCAGTGACTGGACAAATGATTACCTGTGTCACCTAAGGACTGGCATTACGGAGGAGCTAGGTTTTGTTGGTGAAAACACATTTTATACAACATATTGTACAAATACCATCCTTTAACCGTAGCCTTCATAGGTTATTAGATCTTTGAAAGGATAAAAGAAAACCCCACTGCTTGTAAGAAATGCACTGCGTACCTGGTGCAGTCCTGGGTTCTTTTACCCAGTTGACGCAGCCCCTACAACATCCTCTGAGATCTCTCCAACTGTCCTCCATGCAAAGAGGCTGTTTCAGAGACACTGTTGAAAGTCACATACAATGTTTCCAGCTAAGCCTGAGGTTGAACACAGACCTGTCTGTCCCCAAAATATGTGATCCGTGCTATTTACAGTGTTCTGCCAGAGAAGGCCAAGCATGAAGACCCCTCAGCAGTGGTCTCTGCTCCCTGCAGGACCCCATCTCTGTTGACCAGGGGCTTTGCGTAGCAAAGCCAGGTATGCCTCACCCTCTGTCTTAACGCCGAGTTCCTCTCTTCTACTCCCTGTTTCCTGCCCAGGGGTGATCCTCCTTCTCCTCGACAAGCTGCGGAAGCTGAAGTGGGAGCAGATGTGGAGGCTGACCGCGGAGAGGGAGCTGATGGGCATGCTGTCCACCTCCTTGGCCGACCAGGTGAGCGGCTACGTCGGAATGTGGGGTCGCTCCACAGGGTTCCGTGCTTCTCAAACACTAAGAACACATAGGTCTGAACTCCTTTTCCACCTATCCACTTAGACCTCATCTCACAGCCGTCGAGTCATAACCCCTGCCTGGCTCTGCAGTGGGTTTCTGAGGCGGTGAGTCACATGGGAGGAGACCAATCACAGGGGCTGGTACAGTTACACCACCAGAGGTACGGCGTCTGTCGGCGATCAGCACAGCGCAGGATTTACCACGCCACCAGTGTGCTTCCATCTTAAGGAAATAAACCAAAAGCCTCGTTGCTATGGAGTTGCAAGTGGCTCATCACAGACCTTCTTTTCCAAGGCTGTAAATTGCACAGGGGCTGGGGGTGATTGTCCATCTTTCTGTCATGAAGCTGCTGGTGGATTCGAACAACCAAAGCAGCACAGCCTTTGGGCTAACGGCACAACCCCTGTCGACTGTGTGGGCACTTGCAGTTCTGGGTATTCCTTGGTTTGTGGGTGCATCATCATTCTATTCCCTGCCATTGTCACATGCCCATTTTCCTAGTATCCAGTGCTGCCCACAGAAATACCACAAGGTCGCTTTAACAAACAGATACTTCTGGAGGCCAAGTGGCAAGGAGCTGCACTGCAATCCCAGAGGTGCTCAGTTCTAATCCACCAGATGCTCTGCTGGAGAAGGTGGGACAATCTCCTCCTGTACCAGTCAGATCTGATTTGACGGTACACACAAAAAAATAATAAATTTTTTTTTTAAATTTAAAAAAAAAATTTGACTCTGGAGTGTCACTCCGAGGGAAGATGCTCTTTCCCTGTCACCTTTCGGGGCAGGTCCTTGTGGGCTTGACCTCCTGGTTGTGGGGGGTGGATTTGAACCGTAACGATCTAAAGCAGCACTTCAGCTCTTTCGTTCATTTCCTTCGCTCATGTGTTTATTAAGCAAACCTCCCGCTTGATTCCTGCCTCTGAAAAACCCACTGCAGGGTCAGCTATGAGTCGGTTCTGACTCAACTTCAAAGAGTTTTGAGTTACCGACCATGAGAACTTGTCACAGACTGAGCTGAGAAATAGATTTTTAGAGAGAAATCCAGGTTGCAGTTCTTGGTCTCTGAGAGCTCAGAGTTTATTAAAACAGAACCATAAATAGAGGCAGATGTCACATTTTCCAGGAAGATCAAGTCACCCCCTATACAGCCTATTATATTAAAAGTCGGAGTTATGTGCAGTGGTTACATGAGTACACAATGCAGTGGTATGACTTAGCCATGCACATCAAAGCCTCGCTGTTATTCCTGCATGACTATGTTCAAGATCTGTTAGGGTGGGAATAGTTCTTTAATATTTGTATGCACAAGGAAGGACGCTGTGTGTTATGTACTACAACAAACATTTGGCTAACTAATGTCAGATACGATCCCTAACTGATGCTGCTGGTGGACAAATTAGACTTAAAGACAGACTTGGGGAAAGAGGACAGTCGGGAGAGCATCTGTAGGTAGTGATTTGGTGTCTGAAGCAGAGGGTGTAGCCTTCCATCCACACTGTGAAGCCTGCGCTCACCTGCTCTCTGAAGTCTCAGAAGTCCACAGCCGCTGACCTGCTGTGATTTCATTTGCCTCTCTGGCAGCAGGCATCTAACTTGAAGGTCTTTCACTTAGACCCTATACCGGAGACCTTCTGTGAAGAAGAAATAGCATTTTAAAAAGAGAATGTCTAGAGAGCATTATGTTGGATAAAATAACTCAGTTATAAAAGGACATAGATGGCACAAGACCACTGTGGTGAAAATGGGAGAATAACTGGGCAAGATACGTATAACTGTTCAAAGGAGAAAGGGAAGGGGGTGCAGGAAAAGGGGAGGGAGGAAAATCACTAGGCTACCAGGCATTAGTGGGTGGACGGGGCTGTGGAGGAAGAGGAAAGTTGAAGAGATAGTGATAGTAGACATAGGTTGATAGTAATTGATTATATAAAACACAGTATGTATGAAATATTGTATAAAACACAATGTACATGAATGAAACACAATGTATGTGAATTATTGTATAGAGGGCAATATACATGAATGAAACACAGTGTCTATGAATGGTTGTATGCAAACCAATAAATACCATTAAGAAAAGAATGCACCAGGCAAGCTCTTGTGGACTAGTGGCAAGAAGCTGCTCTGCAATCCCAGAGGTTTGTGGTTCAAATCCACCAGAGGCTCTGCTGGAAAAGGAGGAACAATCTCCTTCTGTACCAGCCAGATCTAATTTGATGGTACACACACACACACACACACACACACACACACACACACACACACACATTAAAAGAATGAACAAATGACCTCATTGGCTGGAGTAACCCACACCATCTGGAAAAGTCCCAGATTCCCACACTGTGAACAGAAATGCACAACATTCTTATTTGGTATTTTGAACAACAGAGGCTCTGGCCTTGGGCCTTGGATCTACCAGAAGAACTCACTAAGATTTTGATCTTCTGGTGGTCTTGAAAGTGATCTTGAAAGGCAAAAACAAGGTCTCGACATTTCCTCCGCTTTTTTTCTTCTTTCTCTTTTTCCAAAGAGCAGGCTCTCTCTCGACACTGTTGCTCGAGGTACAATTATTGGATTTGCCCAGTTGCAGCAGCATTTCTCTGTGGCACACGCAGAGGAAGCAAGGAGCTCCGTAGGGTTACCTTAACTATTTTCCTTGGCATTCTTACCATTCAGTGTTTCCCAGACAGCTGGAAACTGATTTCCTCATTTTCCCAGACGTGAGCTGTGGTATAATGAATGAGTTTAAAAATGCTCAGGCAGCTGTTTTAACCCAGAGAGGGGAAAATCGCCCGCCTCTGTCATATTTTAAGTCAGGTCACAATGATTCATGCGTGTCACCGAAAGGTAGCAGTTGTATGTCCGTGTCCAGTGAGGATTGTTTATTCCACCATCTCTTGCGTGGTGGCCCGTAAGTCACTTCCCAGCACCATCTGTCAGGAACTGGCTAACAAGTGTGTCCAGGTGCCGGGGCTTGGGGAGGAGCCCACAAGCCACAGAGTGTCCCCAGACAGGCCACAGCTGGCTTTCGAATGGGGCTGCATGTTTTGGGACCCTGAGCCTGCAGTATTCCGAGGAGCATCCATCACTTCATCCACTTGTCCCCGGGCAAGGCTGCTAAAAAGAGGCCTGCAATTTGTCTTGGGCATCCGAATGAGCAGGGCAACTTGTCATCATGCAGTTTCCTGTCCAGAAGCCTCAGGATGGATGGTGCATGGCCTCTGAGATGAGGCAGGGAGAGAGAAGGAAAAGATATTTCATTTTTCAAATGCCAGCCAGGGTGGACAGAAATTCCCTGTGTGCCCCAGAAGAGCTCCCTGGCCTGAGGCTTTAGGAGAGACCAGCATTCCCCGGGCATGTCCCAACTCTGCTCTCAGGAGCTCTGGTGGCCTAGTGGTAAGACGCTGCGCTACGATCCCACAGGCACGCTGTTTGAATCCTCCAGCTGCTCTGCAGGAGAAAGATGGGCGATCTCCTCCTGTGTGATTCACTGCTTCTGAAAACCCCCTGGAGGGTCAGCTAGGAGTCAGCTCCAACTCAACAGTAAAAAAACAACAATAACAACAACAGCCCAAATGTTAGGGAGCTCTGGTGGCCTAGTGGAAAGAAATTGTGCCGCAATCCCAGAGGCACGCAGTTTTGAATCAACAAACCAAATAGTATTGCCTGGTTGCTAGAGATAAAAGGGAAGAAAATCTGGCCCCAGGGCAAGTCAGCCATGTTCAGAGCCCAGGGCTCAAGAGACCCTGTCTCCAAGGACATGTGGGATCTGGAAAGCCAGCATCTCAAGCTGAAGCCACTGCCTGTTGTGATGGTCACTCTGCCTTGTCCCTCCCACAGGATATCTTTAATGCTGTCATCAAACAGAACCCTTTCCTGGTGTACCAGCTGCCCTGCTTCTGGAACGTTCAGCTGTCAGACCACACCCGCTCCGAGCAGTGCTACCGGGACGTGTCCGACCTCAAGGTAAGGAGCAGCCACGTGGGGTTTGGACACATCTGAGGTGAGAATGAGGCTGAGGTGCCTGTATTGGTGGGTGAGCGAGACCGGGGCGGGAGGCTGCCAAGGGGATGAACGACCTGGAGCTTTGTGTGCCCTATGGTGAGTGAGATAAGGATATAGATGAGAAGGCAGAATGCACTTTCCTTTTTTTTTAATCCTCTCTCTCAATTCATCTGGGCTTTAGAGGGAGGCCTAGGACCTCGGACTTAAGATCTAGACAGAGGACCTGACTCCTGTGGCTGTTTTTGACACCTGCTGCCGGCTGACGAGTTCCTATCAGCTTCCCAAATCTGTGCATTTCATTCCAACAAAAACACTTCTTTTTCTTGAGGCTCTACTCTTTTGCCAGGTGCTAGAGATGGGACGAGAACTAGCTTAGTTCCTACACTTAGGTCGCTCCTGATCCCGAGGAAGAGAGAGACACAAAAGGAAGTGAGTGTGAAAGCATCCATCAGCTGACATGCTGGGCGTGAGTGAAAGAGGAACAGACATAAATGTCTCATTCTGCCTTGAGAAGGGACAGTGACAGGAGAGCCTTCATCACCGGCCTCCAGGTAGTGAACGAAGTCCCTAAGTCCTCACAGATGACAGATGTGGGATAGATCAGTTACCTGATGCCATAAATGATGCTGTGCGACTAAGGCTTCAGACAGTGACCTAATCAATAAGCATTTAGTTGACGAGGCTGCCAGGCAGCTGGGTGGCCCGCCCAGGTGTCTGTGGTCTGGATCACCCCAGCGCTCCTCCAGTGTCCCTCGTGTCCCTGGGGGACATTCTGGCGCAATCTCACAGTGAGGCAGAACTGTTAAAGCAGCCCTAGTGCACAAGAAGGGAACTCTCTGGTGGTCTAGTGGGAAGGAGCTGTGACACCACCCCAAAGGCACACGGTTCGCATCCACCAGTTTCTCCAAGGACAAAAGATGGGCCCTTGTGTGATTAAACTGCCTCTGAAAACCCATTGGAGGATCAGCTATGAGTCGGTTTCAACTCAACAGTACACCACCACCACAACATTACCAGTGCACAAGGGGAAAGTCTGAGTCATTGTACTGTCCTACAGGATGAAGGTATCGTATGACTGAACTCAGAGTTAAGGAATATGTCACCCCCCCCCCTTTAACTAAATGGTGTTCCAAGTGAGGGACCTCACTGATTCTGACCAATTGGCCACCAGAGTTCCCTAGAGTATTATACAGTCCTTTAAATATGCCCGGACAAGCTTTATGGTCTAGTACATGTTGGGGAGCTGTTGTTATATGCCATTGAGTCGCTTGTTACTCATAGCCTCCCTTTATACATTAGCTCTGATACCCACCCTATCCTGAGTCAATCTTACTGTCTCAGATAGACCCAACCCCATCCCGCAAGTCACTGAGTCAACCCATTCCGCCTCCTCAGTGGTTCTCAGTAGGAAGGTTCCGCCTCTGGTGCCACATCTGCTAGTGTGCTCTAACTGTGCTCTATTGTAAATAGGGTTTTCTGAGACCTGTTATTTTGGAAATGGATGGCCAATCCTTCTCCCTAGTCTGTCTTAATTTGGATAATGAGTATCCCAGAACATTTAATTGTGTTTTTGTGAAACCTATACTTGGACAAGGAAGCAGTCCTCAGAACAGAACAAGGGAAACACTGCATGGTTCAAAATCAGGAAAAGAGTATGTCAGGGATGCATCCATACCTGTCTCCATAACTTCTCAATCTATATGCAAAACAGATCACTCAGGAGCCTGGACTTTATGAGAAGAATGTGGTATCAGGATTGGAGGAAGACTCATGAACAACCTACATTGTGCAGATGCCACAACCCCGCTTGTGGAAACCAAGGAGGGCCTGAAGCACTTGCTGCAGAAGGTCAAGGACTGCAGCCCTAAATATGGATTGAAGCTCAACATCAAGAAGACAAAGATTCTCACGACTAGGCCAGTTGGCAGCACTATGTTATATGGAAAAGAGATTGAGGTTGTTAACAATTATAGTTTGCTCTACTCCACAATCAACACTCTTACCACCAGCAGTCAATGAAACCAAACAAATTGCACTGGGAAAATCTGCTGTTGGATTTCCTGCTCTCCAGGGTACTGAGAAGCAAAAACATAAGTATAGAGACTAAGATCATTGTCTTCGCAATTACTTGATACACATCAGAAGACAATGACTAAAGATGACAGAAGAATCGATGATCGACACCTTTGAGTTGTGGTGCTGGAGAAGAGTCTTGAGCATTACATAGACCACCAAGGAACCAAAAAGGCCTGTCTCGGAGAGGGTGAAACCAAGTTTCTCCTTGAAGGCTAGGATTTTGAAGCTCCATCTCACCTGACACCTTCGTCCTGTAGGACAGCACAATGACTCAGACTTTCCCCTTGTGCACTGGTAATGTTGTGGTGGTGGTGTACTGTTGAGTTGAAACCGACTCATAGCTGATCCTCCAATGGGTTTTCAGAGGCAGTTTAATCACACAAGGGCCCATCTTTTGTCCTTGGAGAAACTGGTGCATTTGAACCGTGTGACTTTAGGGTGGTGTCACAGCTCCTTCCCACTAGACCACCAGAGAGAGAGTTCCCTTCTTGTGCACTAGGGCTGCTTTAACAGTTCTGCCTCACTGTGAGATTGTGCCAGGATGTCCTCCAGGGACATGAGGGACACTGGAGGAGCGCTGGGGTGATCCAGACCACAGACACCTGGGTGGGCCACCCAGCTGCCTGGCAGCCTCGTCAACTAAATGCTTATTGATTAGGTCACTGTCTGAAGCCTTAGTTACACAGCATCATTTACGGCAGTAGGTAACTGATCTATCCCACCTAATGGCTAGAAGATAATTTGGACTTTATACAAATGTTTTAAACCATAAGTTTCCCTGCTTGCTTGTTTCATCTAAGTTTGACATACACTGTTTTTACATTCATTGTTCTAAGTAGGTTTTGGGGGCAGTTTCACTTAGGATTTCTTTTTAGAACTAGTAGTATTATATGTAATAATATAGTGTGTTGTTTGTTGTTTTGTTTTTTTGGGTTTTTTTTGGTTTTGTTTTTTTTTTTGCCAGTGAACTTGTTTGTTGTTTTGTACCATGAAGTTGAACCAACTCATAGATTGCTCTCAATCCGGCTTTCAGAGACAATACACTGTAAGGGAGGAAACTGCCTATCTTTGTCTGTGGAGCAGGCGGTAGATTTGTACATATAATATATTGTTATAGTCTAATACTGTAATACTATATACTACCATTCCTTAAATACAATAGAATTAAGCTAGAAGGTATTTACAGTAAGACTTTGTTTTCGTCTATTTGATTAAAATTAGGATTCTTTATTACTAGTTCTAAACAGAAACCCTAAGTGAAACTACCACCAAAACATACTTAGAACAGTTAATGTAAAAACAGTGTATGTCAAACTTAGATGAAACAAGCAAGCAGGGAAACTTACGGTTTTCAACATTTGTATCAAGTCCAAATTCTCTTCTAGCCATTATGTATGTTTGTTGTTGTTGTGTATGTACCGTTAGGTCAGAACCAGCCCATAGCTGACCCTCCAGCAGGTTTTCGGAGGCAGTTAATCACACGAGTGGAGACTGCCCATCCTTCTCCCACGGAGCAGCTGGTGGGTTCGAACCT